CCCCCGCCGCCCCAACTTCAGCCAGGGCTGGGGACACACTTTCCCCATGTGCTGGCGAAGATTTTCCGCTCGTGGAGACTGTGGGTTGCTTATATTGATCTGTGAGGCAAGCAATTCTATTTTAAGTTGATGTTGTTCTGAATGTCTGTTACAGCAACCCAACCTAATATCCTACCCTGTGCACACGCCGGGTGGGATTTCCTTGTTGCTTAAGCCTTAAGCCAGTTTGCGTTTCAATGCCTTTTACTTTCAGCAGAAAGCCCTTATGAGGGGGGGGAATTGGGGTCTTGCCCCTTGCGGTACAGAATGGTTTCCTATGGTTACCATGGCAAATCCCCCCAAATTTAGTGGCTTCGCACAACAGGAACGGGCTCTTTTACAGTTCTCGAGGTCTGAAGTTCAAATTGTTTGATGGGGGCTGAACCCAGGTGTCAGCAGAGGATCCCGTGGGAGAATCTGTTTGTTTGGTTTTTAAAAATATTTTTATTTTATTTATTTTTTTAAATGTTTATTTATTTTTGAGAGAGACAGAGCATGAGCAGGGGAGGGGCAGAGAGAGAGGGAGACGCAGAATCCGAAGCAGGCTCCAGGCTCTGAGCTGTCAGCCCAGAGCGTGACGCGGGGCTTGAACTCACGGACCGTGAGATCATGACCTGAGCCGAAGTCAGACGCTTAAGCGACTGGGCCACCTTTTTTTTTGCCTTTTCAAGCTTCTAGACCTGCATTCCTTGGCTCATGGCCCCTTCCTGCGTCTTCAAAGCCACCAACATGGTGTAAAGCTTCAGAGGAAGGAGAGAGACACTTGAGGCACAGACACACAGGGAGAGGCCGGGTGACCACGGAGGCAGACACTGGGGGGATGCGGCCGCAACCAGGGAGCACCAGGAGCCCCAGATGCTGGAAGAGGCAAGAGAGGGTCCCCCCCTAGAGCTTCTGGAAAGAGCATGGCTGTGTCAAAACCTTGAGTTCAGACTTCTTTCCCGCCAACGCCGAGATAAAATAGATGTTTCGTGTATATTCGGGGTGTGCAAACCGATGATCTGATGTACGTGTACATTGTGAAATAGTTACCATAACATATCCATCACCTGCCAGACCCATTCTATGAAGCCAGCGTTACCTTGGTTCCCAAACCAGACAAAGACCCCACTCAAAAGGAGAATTACAGGCCAATATCCCCGATGAACCTGGATGCAAAAGTTCTCGACAAGATACTAGCAAACTGAATTCAACAGCACATTGACAGAATTTTTCAACCTGATCAAGTGGGAGTCATTCCTGGGCTTCAGGGCTGTTTCGAGATCTGTGAATCAATCAGTGTGATACACCACGTTGATAAAAGAAAGGACAAGAACCAGATGATCCTCTCACTAGATGCAGAAAAAGCATCTGACAAACCACAGCATCCTTTCTTGAGAAAAATCCCCACGAAAGTAGGGATAGAGGGATCTCACCCCTCTCACCACCGTTGTTCAACACAGCGTTGGAAGTCCCAGCCTCAGCAATCAGACAACACAAAGAAATAAAAGGCATCCAGATTGCCAAGGAAGGAGAGTCGAACTTTCACTCTTTGCAGATAACACGATACTCTAGGTGGAAAACCTGACAGGCTCCACCAAAAACTGCTAGAGCTGTTACCTTACAGTTACTCGTTCCCTTTCTTTCTCTTTTCTTTCTTTCTTTCTTTCTTTCTTTCTTTCTTTCTTTCTTTCTTTCTTTCTCTCTTTCTTTCTTTCTCTTTCCTTTTTTTCTTTCCTCCTTCCTTCCTTTCTTTTTTCTTTTTTCTTTTTCTTTCTTTCTTTCCTTCTTTCTTTCTTTCCTCCTTCCTTCCTTTCTTTTTTTCTTTTTCTTTTTCTTTCTCCTTTTCCTTCTTTCTTTTTTTCTTTTTCTTTCTTTCTTTTTCTTTCTTTCTTTCTTTCTTTCTTTCTTTCTTTCTTTCCTCCTTCCTTCCTTTATTTTTTCTTTTTCTTTCTTTTTTCCTTCCTTCCTTTCTTTTTTCTTTTTCTTTTTCTTTCTTTCTTTCTTCCTTTTTTCTTTTTCTTCCTTCCTTCCTTCCTTCCTTCCTTCCTTTCTTTTTTTCTCTTTCTTTCTTTCTTTCTTTCTTTTTCTTTCTTTCTTTCCTCCTTCCTTTATTTTTTCTTTTTCTTTCTTTCTTCCTT